GGGTGGGACCCAGGAGGGGCCTCTGGGGGCGGGGCCGGTGGTTTCGGAGAGCTGCCGGTAGAGGAGCCTGTCCAGGGGCGGGATTCAGAAGGAATGAGTGGGGGTCTGCGGAGGCGGGATTTATGCAGGGGGCGTGGTCTGGAGTGAAGAGGGGCGCTGGGCAGAAATTTGGGGCTGGCACCAATATGAGTGTGTCTAGGGGAGTAGAAACGAAGTGGACTGTTAAGTGCCTAGTGGTCGCCACCAAAACCTGGCTCCCTACCAACTCAGGCCTCTTCTCCAAGGTCGACCATGGGACTTTGCAAGTGCCCCAAGAGGAAGGTGACCAACCTATTCTGCTTCGAACACCGGGTCAACGTCTGCGAGCACTGCCTGGTAGCCAATCACGCCAAGGTGGGTCCTTTATCAGAGCCGCTGAGCAAGGCACTGGGAAGGCAGGTAGTATTAGCTTCTTCCAAATCCATGAATGGCCTGGCGCTAGAATGGAATCTCCACAAGGGCAAGGAATTGGTTTATCTGATTCACTTCTATATCCCCAGCCCTTAAGACAGTCTGGCACACAGTATGTATTCAGTAAATCTTTATTGATTAAACAAACCACAGAAGTCTTAGGTAGCTGGGCTGTGGAGCCCCTGCTCCAGTTGTGACCTCTCTCTCCCACTCCAGTGCATCGTACAATCTTACCTGCAGTGGCTCCAAGATAGCGACTACAGCTCCAATTGCCGCCTGTGCAACACACCCCTGGCTGCCCGAGAGACAACCCGCCTTGTCTGTTATGGTGAGTCCTGGTTACTTTGCAGGGATCAGGGCAGGCCCAGCTTGGTGACTGGTTTCCACACCCTAGTTGGGGAGGCTGGAGCCCCAGTTCCTAGTCTTGCTGAGTTACTTACCTGCTGTGTGAGCTCAGGCAATTCATTTGCCTTTGTAGGCCTTAGTATCTTTCCCTAAAAATTAAAGCTTCTAGTTTCCTCTCTCCCATCTCCAGTGTTGAGTGAGAGCCAGTCAAACTTGTGGGTGTGTTTGTGTCTGTGAGCAGTAGCTGGCCAGACTAGCCATGAGCTGAAAAGATGAGGCTTTCAGGCATTCAAGATTCATTACTGATTCCAAGATTGAACAGAGAGGAAATGAGTTTCCCACAGTAAAGTCTGCTACAAGAAGTCAGCAGATATGTGTCATGACATTGACCTGACTCTGGTCTAAGAGCCTTACCTCCACTTTTTGAAGGAGCTAGTACAAAAGAGTAAGCTCCATGTATGTGTTTTTCAGTGTGATTCGTGGATATTTGTGCATGGATTTAATGTGCATTGTCTCTTTACATAAGTGTTAGTGTGTTCATTAGTGTTTGTGGGTGAGTGGGTAAATGTGTGTGAACATGACTACAGGTATGTTGTGAGGTTGCAGGAGAATGTGTGGGTGAGGGTGCTCAAGTGTTAGCAAACGAGTGAGTGTAGAGATGTGTATGTGTGAGTTGGTGTGCCTAAGTACAGATACAAGGGTGGCACTTGTGTTTGATTATGTATATATAAGCATGTGCATATTTGTGCCCATGGGTGTGTACAAGCACACATGTGCCTGTGTGTATGTCTAGGAAGCTTTTCTGAAACTATTCTTTTTCTTTTTTTTTTTTTTTAATCCTCACTTGAGAATGTTTTTTCCATCACTTTTCAGAGAGAGTGGAAGGGGGAGAGAGAGAAAGAGAAACATCAGTGTGAGAGAGACACATTAATTGGTTGTCTCACCCACGCCCCCCCAACCAGGGCTGGGGATCGAGCCTGCAACCAAGGTATGTGCCGTTGGCTAGCATCGAACCCAGGACCCTTCAGCCCATGGGCCAACACTCAACCACTGAGCCAAACTGGCTAGGGCTGAAACTGTTCTTGATTAGCTGTTAGCCCAGGAACTTGTGGCATCTTCTTCCCACCCATCCTCACCCCCTAGTGGGCTGGGGAGCTTTGTAGCATCTGTTTTGGCTTAGTGAGATGGTGGTAGCCAGTAAGGCTGAAGGCTTAGGGAACACTGATGAAATGGACCTAAGGTGAAGATGGGGAGAAGGCTCTGGGCTTACGTGTATGTGTGCCTAGATCCCTGCAATGGGCTGGGGGCTGTTGCTGGGCTAGGAGTCTAAAGTGTCTTCTTCCTCATGCCTCTTCTCTGCTATTTCATGGGCCCTAAGATCTCTTCCACTGGGCCTGCCTCAATGAACGTGCTGCCCAGCTACCCCGAAATACAGCACCCGCTGGCTACCAGTGTCCCAGCTGCAGTGGCCCCATCTTCCCCCCAAGCAACCTGGTTGGCCCTGTGGCCTCTGTGCTGAGAGAGAAGCTAACGACGGTCAACTGGGCCCGGGCAGGACTGGGCCTTCCTTTGGTGAGAGTCTCTCTGTCTATCCATCTGCCTTGGGTCCCACCTGGGCCAAATAAGTGGGTGGAAACAGCACTGGGCAGGCTGGTGACACAGGTTCCTTCCTCCAGATTGATGAGGTGGTGAGCCCGGAGCCCGAGCCCCTCAACACCTCTGACTTCTCTGACTGGTCCAGCTTTAATGGTGAGTGGTGGTCTCCACCTGCTGTTGGGGCCCTTGCTTCCCTGCTTTGCTGACAGCTGTCTTCCTGCCACAGCCAGTGGTACCCCTGAACAAGAAGACATAGCCAGTGCTTCTACTGCCCCAGCCTTCTACAGCCAAGTCCCCCGGCCCCCTGTACCTCCCAGCCGGCCTGAGCAGCACACAGTGATCCACATGGGCGGTTCTGAGCCCTTGACTCACGGTGAGCCAGGGGATTGTCCAGGTCAGGGGAGTGGGTTGGGGTGGTTCATGTGGAGGGAGCTCAGGGCTCCAGAGACCCACCTAGAGGGACCCTTCCTCACTCTAAGCACAGACATTACCTCCCCACAACTCAGTTATAATGTCAGGCTGAGAAGGGCAAGGATCTCCTGCCCTCTCCTCTCCCCCTGCTGTGGGGCAGTTTCCCTGAGCCTGTGGATGCTGGTGGCTCTGCCTTTGCAGCCTCGGCCCCAAGGAAGGTGTATGACACACGGGAGGATGATCGGGCCCCAGGCCTCCACGGAGATTGCGACGATGACAAGTACCGTCGCCGGCCTGCCCTGGGCTGGCTGGCCCAGCTGCTCAGGTACACAGGGTCATGTGGGGCAGGATGCCAGGAAGGGGGGAGAAAGGAAGTGAGAACCAGAGGCCCCAGGCATGACAATTCCATGACAAAGGGGCTTGATCTGGGTACCCAGGCGTTGGGGCTGTGTAAAGAGGCCTCGGCTTGACAATAAAAGTCTTGGGTCTGCCCTCTCGGGCTGCTCCTTGGCTGTTACATATGAGGTTTGGACTTGGCCTCTTTGAGGCCCCTTCCTGCTTCAACACCATGTGATCTGTGTGACTGTCCCCATGCCTGACACGTTCCAGTTTCCAGAACACAGCCGTTGCCTCAGCTGGTTCAAGCTACACAGTCACCCTTGTAGTGAGCAGGTAGAGGGATGATCAGTCCCATGGCACACTTGAGGAAATGAGGTTCAGAGATGGTGGCACTGGGGCCAGAAGACCAGTGTCATAACCAGGGCTTCTCTCCAGGCCACCGGGGCCACCAGGGATTGGGAGCCTGATCTGACTTTCCCCTCGTACCCCCAGGAGCCGGGACGGGTCTCGTAAGCGGCCGCTGACCCTGCTGCAGCGGGCAGGGCTGCTGCTGCTGCTGGGGCTGCTGGGCTTCCTGGCCCTACTTGCCCTCATGTCTCGCCTGGGCCGGGCTGCAACTGACAATGATCCCAACCTGGACCCACTCATGAACCCTCACATCCGTGTGGGTCCCTCCTGAGCCCTTGCTTGTGGCTGGACCAGCCTAGGACCTGGGGGCCTGAGGAGGGGAGGTGGGGAGGTCTGAGGGCCCTTCGCTGCTCCTCTCTCTCAGGCCTGAGACACTAAGATCCCAGGCCCAAAGCCAAGTTCACCAGAGTGGCTGCAGGCTAGGCCTGGGGTCCCTGCAGATCAAGGGTTTGTCTTGACCTGCTTCCCCTAGGTCTCTGACCTCCCACCCCCAACCCATGAAGGAGCTGGCAGGTGGAAATAAATGGCAGACTTTATTAAAATACCCAAAGCCTCCTTTTCCTTCCCCCTTCTGAGCCCAATCCCTAGCCTCAGTGGTTCTCTTCCCGGTACTGGATGGCCAAAAACTCCAGGGACAGGCGGTTGAAGAACATGGCTCCGTTGAGCACTGAGCAGAGGAGAGAGCCCCCATCAGCCTTCCCTGCCCCTTCCCTGTCATCTCTCAGGGTTCCAAAGTTCCCCATTCCCCCACTCACTCAGGATGGTCAGGGCAAAGCACCGAAAAAACTTGTCCTCTGTCACCTCAGCGTAGAGTGACCCCATGGCTGCCCAGCAGATGCTGATCACCTGGGAGAACTGTAGGCCCCATCCAGTGGGAGAGTGGCCCCTGACACAACAGTGGGGTTTCCATCAGCCCCAGGGCCTCCCCCAGCCAGTCCTTGAGCCCCTGCCCTGGCGTACCATCAGGACAATTGTGTAGTGGAAGCTCATGCGGTCGTAGTAGTGGGTGATGCAGAAGTTGTACACGTCGCTGACGAAGACACTCAGGTGCATAAAAAAGAGCAACAGTGCAGCCACGGTGAGCACCAGGCCTTCTGGAAAGAAGAGCACCGCGATACGGTCCCGCCACCGCATCCTGGCAGCAGCACAGACTCAGGTCAGCAGAGCTTGAGCAGCTGACCCCTCCGCTTCTAGAATGCAGTCTGGAATAGCAGTGGGATTCTAGAACCAGGACATTTGAGGGGAGATGATTCTAGAACACAGACTGGTTCCATCCAGTACAGGAGTGTTTCATGGGTGGCCAGGGGAGTTCTGAATCGTGGAGGGGTGGTGGGTTAAAGGTACAGATCAGTGGGGTCCCATTGTGCTGAAGGGACAGCGTCCCCCCGTCATCCCACCTGTACATTTTGCACTCTTGCACGTGTCTTCCCACTGAGTCCTCTCAACAGTGCCACTGAGGAGTTAGTGTGGGCACACTACACATGAACTGTGGCTCAGGAAGGGGGGGCAAGTCCCAGGCTGTGCTCCCAGGTCCACAGCAAGTCTTAGGCTGATGAGAGATTAGGGCTCTGATGTGTAGCTGGAGGGCATTCCCCAGGTGAAGGGAGGCCTGGGTTCACAACCTCCAGGTATTTGCTTCAACATCTCATGGAGAGGAACTAGGGAACGGAAGGGACAACATTTCCTACAGCCGTCCTGGGACCTTCCCTATGCCCTCCTTAGGTGTGGCCCTGAGAGCAACTGGCTTTTCAGTCTTCTCCCTAGATGTTCTTCAAGGACCTAATGCTGACCAGCTTCCCCCTCTGCCACTTCTGGTGCCCAGAGCATTTTCACACCCATCATCTGTCATCCCAAGAGTCCCATGAGAAAGCTGGGACTGGTGGCATATATCCTATCTTACATGAATCTGGGGTACAGAGAGGGATTGTCAACTCAAGCTTTCACAGCTGATGAGCGAGGGAGTCAGTACTGAAGTACTGTCAACAAAATACACCAGGAAAATGGCCAGAAATGGCATGGAGGGGCATGTGAGCTCCCAGCAACTTGGAGGGAGGACTTGATGTTGAACTTGGCCACCCCCATTGCCTTCTGCTTAACTGTCTGCCCTGGAAGTTAGGTCCTAGGTCAGGCCAAGGCCCAAAGCCTTCTGCCTCGAAGCTGTAGGGTTCGAGCCTGACCTCACCATCCATGCTTGCTGCCCAGTGTCATTAATCACAACAGCCCCTGAGACCCCCATCCTAACACATTAAAGGGGTGATATCCCCAATGCCCAGCCATGGTCCCACTATTGAGACAATTGTTTGCACCTTAGTTCTCATTTGAATACAAATAAACATCTATACGTCAGGGATCCAAGCTTAATGCCATTTAAAAATATATATATGTTTTTATGGATTTGAGAGAGAGGAAGGGAGAGAAACATCGATTGGCTGCCTCCTGCACGCCCCCTACTGGGGATTGAGCCAGCAACCCCTCAGTGCATGGCCCAACACTACCAATTGAGCCACACCAGCCAGGGCTGTATGAATATGTTCTTATACAATATTTGCAGGCTACACAAGCATACAGAGGAAAATGTAACAGTCTTCCTCTGCCCTCACCCCCATAGAGGTAGCCCCTTCAACAGTTTGGTGAGTGGGCATCTTTTGGGTCCTTGATGTAACCATACACCTACATGCTCATACACATGCATGACAAAAAAACATTTTTAAGGCCCTGGCCAAGTAGCTTAGTTGATTAGAGTGTCGTCCTGATGCACCAAGGTTGTAGGTTTGATCCCCAGTCAGGCACATACAAGAACCAACCAGTGATGCATAAATATGTGGAACAACACACCGATATTTCTCAAATCAATAAAAGTATTTTTAAAACATTTAAAAATCATGCATTATCAAAGTAAAATTCTCAAAGTTAAAAACATGATATCTAGATATCAAGTGAACATGTAACTAAGGTGTATTAACTTAGTGAGGGGATTGCCCCTCAGTAAGGCGGTAATACATGAAGAGTTGGATATTTTCTTTAACCCTCCCTCACCTGAGGATATTTTTTCCATTGCTTTCCAGAGAGAGCGGAAGGGCGAGAGAGAGAGAAACCTATGTGAGACACATGCTGGGCAGGGGATCGAGCCTGCAACCAAGGTACATGCCCTTGGCCAGAATCTAACCCTGAACCCTTCAGTCTGAGGGCCAATGTGCTAACCACTGAGCCAAAATGGCGAGGGCCTTCCAATGTATTTTTTTTTAAGTATGTTTTTATTGATTTCAGAGAGAGGGAGAGAGGGAGAGAAACATCAATGATGAGAGTCATTGATCGGCTGCCTCCTGCACGCCCCCTACTGGGGATCAAGCCCGCAACCTGGGCATGTGCCCTGACTGGGAATCGAACCATGACCTCCTGGATCACAGGTTGATGCTCAACTGCTGAGCCACGCCAGCCAGGCCATATGGTTTTTTGTGTTTGTTTTTTAAATCCTCACTCGAGGATATTTTTTCCATTGCTTTTTAGAGAGAGTGGAAGGGAGGGAAACAGAGAGACAGGCATCGATGTGAGAGAGACATATTGGTTGCCTCCTGCACGGGCCCTGACTAGGGCCAGGGATGGAGCCTGCAACCAAGGTAATTGCCCTTGACTAGAATCGAACCTGGAACCCTTCAGTCCATAAGCTGACGCTCTAACTACTGAGTCAAACCAGCTAGGGATATAGGTATTTTTTAAACAGCCTCTGAACATCCCATGGATTCAGGGATCAGCAAACTTTTTCTGTAAAGGATCATATAATGGTTTAGGTTTTTCCAGTCATATGGTCTCTGTTTCAACTACTCAGCTCCACTGTTGTTGAGAGAAAGCAAATGGGCATGACTGTGTTTTTAAAAAACTATTTATAGACACAATTTCATATGATTGTATGAAAATTTTTAATTTTTAAAATATATATTGATTTCAGGGAGAGGGAGGGAGAGGGAGGAGGGAGAGAGAGAAACATCAATGATGAGAGAGTCATTGATCGGCTGCCTCCTGCACGCCCCCTACTGGGGATCGAGCCCACAATCCGGGCATGTGCCCTGACCGGGAATGGAACCTCAATCTCCTGCGTCATAGGTCGATGCTCAACTGCTGAGCCACACCGGTGGGGCTGAAAATAATTTTTAAATGAAGATATAATTGACATATAACATTAGTTTCAGGTGTACATGATTCAATATTTGTATATATTTGGAAATTATCACCACAGTAAGTAGTTAACATCTGTCAACATAGTTACAGTATTTTTCTTGCGATGAGAACTTTTAAGATCTACTCTATGATATATGAATTTTGTATAATTTTCATGTGTCATGAAATGCCATTCTTATTTTTCAACCATTTAAAATATATAAAACCACAACATTTTTAGTTCACAGGCGACATGAAAACAGGTGGTGAGATGTGTTTGAACGGCAGTAACCCTGCCAAAGAATAAACAAGGTTGTTTCCATTTTACCACTGCACTCTGCCTCCCAGCCCATCATAAGTAATGTTTCAAGGACCAGGTTAAGTTCTTTCCTCCATGCAAATTCATGTCTCCATCTAAACGCCAAGCCATTCCCTGTCCTCTTGAGCTCTTGATCTTGATGAACGGCTGCACCTTTGCCCAAATCAGAAACCTGAGAATTATCCTCAGAACTCCACTCAACTCCTCACTCAGCACATCCTATCAGTCACTTAAGATCTGCCGAGTCTGTCTTATAAAAACGGTATATTTAATTGCACCGGAATCTAAGTCTGCGGGAACCAGTCTTAAAACGCGCCACAGGTGCACGTCGGAGAACCAGGCTTCCGGAGGCTGCGCTAGAGGCTCCGGGCGGCGCAACGTGTGTGCACTTAGTTCTCGCAGCTCCCCTCTGATGTACCCCAATTTTAGGAATTGGGGTGGCAACTGAGCCGCTGCCCAGGTAACTGGGCAGTGGCAGGATGCCAGGCACAAGCTCTCTGGCTCTACAGAGCGCGCGGCCTTGCCTGCGGGGCGCAGGGGAGCGGGGCTGGGAGCCGGCACCTGCCTTCCCTCCGGAACGGCAGCAACGCCGTCAATTCCACAGCATCCCTCCGCCTGAGAAGTTGGGGGACCCAAGGGCTCTCTCGGAACCTCTTCGCCCGGGGAGGAAAGGTGCGGGGGAACTCTACTTTCGAAGGACCCAGGGCGGCGGGGGATCGTTTCACCTATGGGACCGCCTCGTTGCAACAACAACTTTATGGTTCCCGGAAGTGCCTCTTTCCAGCCAGCTTCCTAGCCTCACGCCGGTGGGCTGCAGTTGGAGCGATGGCGGCGGCAGCCGCTGGGCCCGGCCCGGGGTCTGGACCTGGGGACTCCCCGGAGGGGCTCGAGGCGGAGGCTCCGGAGCGTCGGAGGAAGGCGCACGGAATGCTGAAGCTTTACTACGGCCTCTCGGAGGGGGAGGCGACGGGACGCGCCGCGGGGTCCGACCCCCTAGACCCGACAGATCTCAACGGGGCGCACTTCGACCCGGAAGTGTATCTGGACAAGGTAGGTGTATGTGGGGAAATCAGGCCCCCGATATATTGCACCCCCAGAACGTGCATCCAAGTCTGTAATGGGGGTGAAGGAAGCAGGGGTTCAAAAGAGGAAGACGACCCTCGGCCAGGCAGTTGGGACAAAGCTGAAGTCCAAGGGGGCGTGGGCAGGTTTGGACGTGTCTGATGGTGCGGAGTTGAGGTCTGATGTTTTGATAGGCCCGGGGTAGGGGGCGTGGCCCGGTCGCTGACAGGCGCGGGACTGGGCCTTGGCTGAGTCTGAGGATTTAAAAGGCTGACAAATATGGCTCCCCAAACCTAGTAACTCCTAAGCTATGCGACTTATAGACTCCATTTGGGGATTCCTGACAGAGGTGGGAAAGGGCTTTTCCTGTACCAAAAGCCTCCGGCAAGACTTGGGGATATGAGTATCCTTTGACCCGAACACTGAACACTCGATTTCTTCCAGCTGCGTAGAGAGTGTCCCCTGGCTCAGCTGATGGACAGTGAGACGGACATGGTGCGGCAGATCCGGGCTCTAGACAGCGACATGCAGACCCTGGTTTATGAGAACTACAACAAGTTCATCTCAGCCACAGGTGATTCCCACTGAGACACACCCC